AAAAAAAAAAACTGTTTGCCTTGCAGCTTTGTCCTGCTGAACAGGACAGAGGTGCGCTTTTGCAGGCAGTTGGGGACACGTCGCTACCCTGGCAACAAACTCCGCTGGCGTGTATTTTTAGTGAACTCCCTTATAAGATTTCAAAGCCCCTCCACTTCCTTAAGATAATAAACACACTTTAAAGACGTCACAATACATAAGCACACTTTCAAGAATAAACCCAACAACACCACATAGAAAAGTCCTTTACTGTAATTATACACATGCAGTCTGTGAATATTTTATTAGATACAAAATGTCTAAATGCTCATAATATGCAAAGTGCTGAAAATGAAATCATGTCCGATTCTGTTTGGATATGAAGCTGCCTTGAAAGCAGACAGGGTAGATTTGCCCTGTAATACTAGACTCATTTTACTCCAGAACACATTTTTCTTTGGGACAGGACATCCCTTTGATTTTGTGGTGAGTCAGCGTCTAATGGTATAAAGGGAAAGACAGAGCATATTTGCAGATATTTTGCTCTTTTTATATCCTTTTCTTTTAAAGAAATCGTTACTGTATAACTTCTTCTGTAGGACACAAAAGGAGATATTTAGCAGAATGTCCAAGCTGCTATATTCCATTAATTAACTTAATTACCTTCAGATTTTAACTTCACCCTTAAGGGACGGTGTATGCCACCTTTAATTGATTTCCAAGGGCATTTTTATGTTTACAAATGCATTTTTTTCCTAACCTTATTAGATGTAGAATAACACTATAGGCTGTTACCAATCAAATTAAATCAGTATTTTTGCACTGCAGAAGTAGCACAGAAGATATATCTAAATCAGAATTTAGATGTAGATACACTGCAATTACATCTGCATAAAAACTGCTATGAGTTTAATTTTATTTTTAAAGAAATTATGCTTGTAAATATTAAAAAACATTTTGTTAAACTAAAACCACAAGCAGGTGTTGACAAGTCACGGTCTAAATGAGTGAGTCACTGAATCATTCGAATGGTTTGTTCAAACAGCTGATTCATTCAGGAATGAAGCAAGTGACTGTCTTTATAAATAGATCACTGAATCATTGATTAATTCAGGAAAGAAACACCACTGTGTCTTGCTCAACAGCTTTGGTGCGGCTTTCTTCAGAACTATTTTCGTTGGCGTAAACAGTCAATTTTGACAAAATGGTGTCTAAAATGTAACTTATATAGCATTCTTGTTTATTGAACTGTTGTAGAAAATCAGTATCGCATTTTGGAATAATGCTTATATTTTGGAAAAACAGCATGTGTGCTTGTGTGATATTACTTAACTATATTTCTGTCATGACAACTCTCGGAGGGATTGGCATGGTAATGTACATGACAATGTTAAAGTATTAGGTCTTGGTGGAATAGAACCAGCAAAAGGACCAGCATAAACCAGCAAAAGGACCAGCATAAACCAGCAAAGGACCAGTTTAAACCAGCATAAACCAGCAAAGGACCAGCATAAACCAGCATCAAAACATACCTAACCAGCATATGCTGGTTTATCTCTGCAGTTACCTGAATATTTCAGTGCTTCCATAAAGTCCTCCCTCTAGTTCCCCATGTATACATATCATAAATACTGTTAAACATGCAGTCAAATATCCACTTCTACAGTGAGAAAGACAATTCAGTCTGCATTATGAGGCACGATGGCAGTTCTAGTGAGGCCAGATCTCAGTCCAGTGTGTTTTTATGACAATGTTTTGCTAGCGGTGGTCTAAGTGAGGGGATGTGTCAGCTCTTGTCATGTCGGTGTTAGATGAACTCCCTATGGAGACAGTGGAGACAGACGCGCTAATGCTCGCATACACTGCATTCCAGCAGCCAGAAGCCGAACATAGTTGTGCATCAGAGCACACATCCAGAGTCACTCTTATTTACATGACTGTGAGAACAGGCTCTGCAGAGGAAACGCAATGGACACAACTGAAAAATATGAGGCTGCAAACACCTTAAAATGTACTGGTTTGTGTTATGCAACTACCTGATTAAGATGTAATGGTCTCACTGCATTAAAACTTAATCAAATCATATGATCTGCATACCAAAAGAGAGCTAAACTGATTTTAAGATGCGTCACTTCCTTCTGAATTTTTTGTTTTGTTTGTTTTAAGGGTATGTTCGGAATGCAGTAATACTTGCTTAATGCACTGGGGATTAAAAAAATCTTTATGAAATGATCACTCAAACTGTGCTACAGCTAGGGGTGTGTGATATTGACAACAATGAAACATAAGTGTCCACAATAATGAAAAGGAAACTTGTTTTACAAATCTAATTTAAAATGCATGTGCAAAGTTCTTGTACATTTTATCCATGTTGGTTGTATGCAGTTCTCAACAAATGTTTAAATTTAAAAACTCAAAAAAATGCCATGTGGTGCAATCAAGTAAATCATTACATATTTTCCTTATGCAAGTGTACGTATTAATCAGTATTTTTCAAAAAGGTTTTTCAATATATTTTTTTCAAGGTATAAAGTATTTTTACAAATATCAACACTGAATCACATAATTATAATAAAGCGTTTTGGGATTGTTGTATCATTACATTTTACAATCCATTACTACATTACTTTGTTGGTTGCACCACATGACTTCGATCTGGCTGACAATTTAAAAAAAAAAATTATACTAGGTTGCATCAAAACTGCATCACAGCTTATTTTCTAGAAGATAATAATATAGATTATGCCACACTATTTAACGGTTTTCTTTGAGATCCTTTAATCAGGCTTTTTCTTTATTATGATTTCAAAACTGTTCGACTACCCTCATTTTTTTTCTTTATTCCCTGCAAATAATCAAAAGATTGCATTGTTTGATCTCTGTTGTATACTGCACAATTTGGTATAGCAGCTCTAATGTGTGGTCATTTTAGTATGTCTGCTTGGAAGGCTAAATTAAATGCGTCAATAACTACTGTATAACTGAACGGCTGGCATGTCAGGCTTCACGGATGGAAGAAAACAGCTATTAGATCCATCTGTAAAGGCATTCCTCTTGAGCAGTGGAAGGTAGCACACACGGTCCCCTCCGTTTGCGCTTTCAGCTGAATCTGCATTGTGCTGACTGACTTACCATGACTTCCCCATCTGACAGAATGGAAAGGGCCACTGCGGGCAGACGGCACTAACCCACAAACACATATCCCTGCATGCACACACAACAGGGGAAAAACCTTACTGGGAATAATTGTGGCAGTGCACTTATTAAAATACTATCAAGTCTGCCCTTTAATGTGTTGATGGGAATTTCACTGATGTTAAATATATTCATAATAGTTCTGCCTCAGACACCATCAATTTCTACATACATTTCAAGCT